GCCCCGGAGCCTCTCTCAGCGGTGAGTCCGCGTCCCGGGAGGCTGCGCGGTGCGGGCGCCACGTGCCTTTGGGAGGAAACGGAGGCCCCGGCCCGGGGTCTCTCCGCCTGTGGCTGTGGCCACCGCCTGCCGCGCGGTTTTCCTGCTGAAAACCGTTCCCGGGGCCGCCGGTCCTCCCCGCGGGGCTGAGAGTCTGGGTCAGGGGGTTCCCGCCCTTTGCGCCCCTCCCCCCGCCCGGCGCTTCCGCCCAAGAGCCCGGATGGCTCCCGGCCTGGGGGTCCGCACCCCCCTCTCCTAGCCCCACGGCAAAGGCTTTAGCATGAAGATCTATTCTCTCTAATTTCCTGGGAAAGAGAACCGAAAACCACCTGGGAAACCTGCACGTGTACAAGTTCCTGCTTCACCTCCTCCCACTCCCCACAGGTCTCAGGGCTGCTGGGTCTGGTGTCTGGTACCCAGCGCCCCTGAAAACAGCTCTGGGGCAGCCTGCGAGGCCGAGGAGGCAACTAGTTAAAGATGCCGGTCAGGGCCCCCAGCACAGGCTTTGTTCAGGGGAGGTAAGGGGTTCTCTGTTGGGTTGGGGGTTCAGCAGAGCAGCACCTGTGCTCATTCCTGTAGGAGTTAGTGGAAGTGTTTGACACATGAAGAGAGAAAAAAATCTCAGTGTGGTCTCCATGTAGGAGCTCATTGTTCCTGACTCTCTCCTGTGACAAAGGACAGGAGGGGGTGTCCTTTTCCTTATTTCCAGGTCCTTCAGACTGAGTGTGAGGGGAGCTGATTAACAGGCTGTGGGGACGCCTTTGAAGGCACATTCTGTGACTCCTCAACATATTGTCTCCTGAGGAAACAACCCAGACCCCATCAGGACCAAAACCAAATGGCTGCTTCTCAGGTAAAAGATGTGTCCTGGGTCAGAGGCTCTGTTTGCTTTTCCTCTAACATTGTTGATATATTTGTCTTTCCCTCAGGCCTGTGTCCCCTGTCCCCTCTGCTCCCCTGTTACCCTCTGTCCTGTTACCTACAGCTAGCTCATTCTCAGTGCTGCTTTTCCCTCTACTTTGTCATCCCTAACACCCCCTTCCTGTCCCTGCTCTCGCTTACCCAATTCTTTCTGGGTGAAGATCTTTAGACCTTTCCAGGAGAATATCTATGTACGCCTTTTATTCTACCTTCCTTCATTATTTCTCGTAATGTCTGTATCACAGGTTTTTCATTTCTTTGTTTATAATTTTTTGTTTTTTTATTGATTTCAGAGAGGAAAGGAGAGGAAGAGATAGTTAGAAACATCAGTGAGGAGAGAGATTCATTGATGGGCTGCCTCTTACATGTCCCCAACTGGGGATCAAGTCCGCAACCCGGCCATGTGCCCTTGACAGGAATCAAACCTGGGACTTTTCAGTTCACAGCCTGGCACTCTATCCACTGAGCAATACCAGCTAGGGCTGCATTATAGTTTTTTGATAACAGAAGCTTTGAAGTATGTTTTAAAATCAGGAAGCCTGAAGCCTTTAATTTCATACATTCTTTTCTTTCTTTTTTTACTTGTTTTTATTTTTTATTTTATTCTTTTTTTGGTGGCAGCGGTGGGATAGGAACCCCATACATTCTTTTCTTGATTGACTTGGTTACATGGAGTCCTGTGACATTCACATTAAGAGCTTTTCTACTTCCACCAATAGTGTCAGCAGTTTCTATATTTCCCTCACTTTTTTTAATATATATTTTTGTTGATTTCAGAATGGCAAGGAGAGGGAGAGAGAGATAGAAATGAGCAGAGTGAATCTTTGATTAGCTGCCTCCTGCACATCCTCCACTGGGGATCCAGTCTGAAACCTGGAGTGTGTCCTGACCAGGAATGCAACCTTGCCCTCCTGGTTCATAGGTCAACGCTCTACTTCTGAACCACTCTGGCCGGGATATATTTCTCTCCTTTTTCCCAGAGCCTTCTCTGCCTTCATTTTATGCAGCCTCCACAAGGTCAGGAAGCATTCCCACCTTTAATTAATGACTCTCAACTACTCAAAACATCCCTTTTATGACAGATCCACCTGGGAAGGCATCCATGTCTAACATCCCTATTGGGATGGGGTCAGAGGCTCTTGTATCTTGAAGAAAGGAAAGGTAGATTTTAGGTTCAAGTGACTGCAGCATCTGCTTATGATCAGGAGTAAGAAAATGCACATTTTACTGCTCAGAATAGCTCAGCAAGTTCTTAATGAAGAGTAAATAGTAAATAGAAAAGACTTGCTCACTAGATTAGGGCGAAAGTTTTGGTACTTAAAAGTACTGTTAGCTTACAGAACATGTGAGGTACCTGTGGGTTGACACTTGCAAGAATTAATGTTAATTTGTGATCATTTCCACATAATGATTTCTTTTTTGAGGTATTTTGGCAGTAATGTCACAGCAGTGATGACCTGACCTTCCGTGTGCCTCAGTCACCTGATGCCTATGGTCTCAGTCCACCTGATGATCACGTGGCAGAGATGCTCCCACTGTAGAGGAGTTAATAGTCTCCCTTTCTCAGGAACAAGGGTGTAGTAGGGGTTTAATGAAAGTTGTGGAAAGACCATCACTTCACATCTGGAAATGTCCTTCTTCTTAGCTTGCATTTGCTTTGGAAAATGAAGGACTTACTTTTATTTCCTACAGATCATTGGCTTTTTCATGGGACTTTTAAACAATCAGACCTTGATTCTTTAACCTTTCTTCATATTCTATACTCACATGAGAGATATACCATACATGATCACTTTTTGTATTTTCTAGAAAGTTTCCAAGAATGATATTATTAATGTATGTACAGTTTCATTAAATTTCTACAACATAACTTTCCACTAATGATACATAAAAATTTTGAAAGAAATGTACTAGTAAGAAAAATTAGTTCCCTCAGGCTGGTGTGAATCAGTGGTGGAGGGTTTGATTCCTGGTTTAGGGCACGTAGGTCCTGGGTACATGTTGTAGGCAGGCAACCCATGTGTCTCTGTCTCTTTCACATTGATGTGTGTCTCTCTCTCTCTCTCTCTCTCTCTCTCTCTCTCTCTTTCACCCTTCCCCTTTCCCTTTCCCTTTTGTGCTTCTACCTCCCTGCCTCCCACTCTGCAAAACTCAATGGAAAAAATCTCTGGAGGTGAGGATTTACAACCACACAAAGGAAACAGTAGGTCTAACTTGTTTTGTACCCTTATGTTTCTGTCCTTATTGTGCTTATAAAACAAAAAGGGGATTATACACAAATACTTTCATGAGATTTACGGAATCACCTAACCATCTTGATTTCATACTTATGTTTGTCTCTGTGCCTAAACTGTTAACATTATTTCAGTTATTTTTTCTTTTTTTTTCAAGTATATTTATGAATTTCAGAAAGGAAGGGAGAGGTAGAGAAAGATAGAAACATCATTGATGAGGGAGAATCATTGAACGGATGCCTCCTGCACACCCCTACACTGGGGATTGAGCTAGCAATTTTGTGTGTCCTGATCGGATATCAAACCAGTGAAGTCTTGGTAAATGGGTCTGCGCTAAACCACTGGGCCACACCAGTTGGACCAGGCAGAATAATCTTGTTCTAAGATTACTCATAGTAAATTTCCAACTGGGATTGTGGTTCTTATCTGTCCTATTCCATGAGAAGTGAATTCCATTAACAAAACCTTTTAGTTCAAAGTTCTATATGAAATATTTACTGTTTTTTCTTTTTCTGTGTATACAGAAGTATGGCACATGATTTGGGAACATTGGCATCACAAGTAAAAAGTGAGCTTGGGACATGTGTGGAAACACAGGCCCCATCTCAGAACCTGGATCTGAATCTGTGTCTTTACAGAAGTTCATTTTGTTGTGGTTTGCTTCAACTTGAGAAGAAGTCCGTAAACTCCAACCCATCATTGCATTTCCATCTGAGAAATATATCCCACTGGCCCTGAACTATGCAAATGCAGCACTCAGAAATCTATATGCTTGTATCCATGCTTTAATTTAATTAATTTATTTTTTAATATATTTTTATTGATTTCAGAGAGTAAAGGGGGGAAGAGAGAGAGAGAACAGTGGTGAGAAAGAATTCGTGATCGGCTGCCTCCAATACACCCCCTACTTGGCATTGAGCCTGCAACCCCGGCTTTTGCCCTTGACAGGAATTGAACCTGCGACTCTTGATTCTGCAGGCCCACCCTCTATCCACTGAGCCCACTGAGCCAAACTGACTACGGCCATGACTTAATTTTAAAGTTTATTTTCTTACATAGGAAAATCTGAACCCTGATCAATGGACATGTGTCATCCTAATTTGTCAGTGTTAGAACACATATCAGAGAATGTTACTGGGGCAGAGTTATCTTATTGGATGATTCAGGATACTCCCCGAGGTCCAAACCTCTTCTCCTTACACTGTTTTCATGTTGGGTGACGTTGTGAACACTTCTGGTGACCTCTTGGTACATGTTTCTTATCTTTCAGGGACCATTGACCTTCAGGGATGTGGCCATAGATTTCTCTCAGGAGGAGTGGGAATGCCTGGACCCAGCTCAGCAGAATTTGTACCTGGATGTGATGTTGGAGAACTACAGCAACCTGGCCTCCCTGGGTGAGGATGACTTCCTTTCCGAGTTCCTACTCCACCTGCAGGGTTTTGTTTCCTTTATTTTTTAATATCTCTATGGCCTTCTGCTTTCTTTGGGAGATTCTTGCTCTCAAGGAACACGTTGGTCTGTAGCTGGTTTTGCCCAGTGGATAGAACACCGGCCTGCAGACTGAAAGGTTCCAGTGTTGATTCTGTTCAAGGGCAAATGCCAGAGTTGTGGGCTTGCTCCCCAGTATGGGGTGTGCAGGAGGCAACTGATCAATGATTCTTTCTCATCATTAATGTTTCTATTTCTCCTCCTGTCTTCCTCTCTAAAAAAAATAAATATATATAAATTTTTTAAAAGGAACAAATTGGGAATTCTTTGGTTTAGAAAAGAAACACTTTTTGATGTATGTGAATTAGGAACTCAGTGTTTGCACACATTACATTTTGTCTACACTAATGAAGGTAATATCAGAAAGTAATATTTTAGAAAATAATTTTCTAGAATATTCCAGTAGTCTACCACTAGAGGCCTGGTGCACGAAATACGTGCATGGGAAGGGTCTCTAGGCCTGGCCTCCCCACCTCCTCCTTCCCTCCCTCCACTAGTGCCCCGCCGCCACCTCTGCTCTCCAGCCTTGTTCTGAACTGGCCCCTGGTGGTCAGCACACATCATAGGGAGCGATAGAACTCCTGCTCTTCCGGTCGTACTCCCAAGTGGACAATTTTTATATTAGCCTTTTTTACACACACACACACACACACACACACACACACACACATACTAGTGGCCCGGTGCACTAAATTCGTGCACCGGTTGTGTGTCCCTCAGACTGGCCTGTAACCTCTCCAATCTGGGACCCCTTGGACATCCCTCTCGCAATCTGGGACTGCTGGCTCCTAACTGCTCATCTGCCTGCCTGCCTGATCGCCCCTAACCACTCTGCTCCTGTCCTGCTTGCCCCCAACTGCCCCCCTGCTGGCCTTCTCACTCCAAACTGCCCCCCCTTGCTGTCCTGATCACCTCCAACTGACCCCCCTGATGGTCTGTTTACCCCCAATGGCCTCACCCCCCACCAGCCTGATCACCCACAACTGCCCTCCCCTCTTGGCCGCTAACTGCCTCTACCTTGGCCCTGCCACCATGGCTTTGTCCAGAAGAATGTCTGGAAGGTCTTCTGGAAGGTCTCCGAGTCTAATTAACATATTACGCTCGCCCTCAACTGACCCCCCCTGTCTGCCTGCTCGTCACCAACTATCCCCTCTGCTGGCCTGATCACCCCCAACTGCCCTCCCTACCTGGCCTGATCACCCCTAACTGCTTCTGCCTCAACCCCGCCACCATGGATTTGTCCGGAAGGTCTCCCGGTCTAATGAACATATTACCCTTTTATTGGTATAGACTAGTGGCCAGTTGTACGAAATTCGTGCACAGGGGGGAGGGTTTCCCTCAGCCCGGCCTGCACCTTCTCCAATCTGGGGCTCCTCGGGGGATGCCTGACTGTTCGCCCCCAATTGGCCCCCCTATTGTTGTTTTTTAATATATTTTATTGATTTTTTACAGAGAGGAAGGGAGAGGGATAGAGAGTTAGAAACATTGATGAGAGAAACATCGAGCTGCCTCATCATGCACGCCCCCTAATGGGTATGTGCCTGCAACCAAGATACATACCCTTGACCAGAATCGAACCTGGGACCCTTGAGTCCGCACCAACGCTCTATCCATTGAGCCAAACTGGTTAGGGCAAGATCATGTTTATTTCAGGGAGGAAGGGAGAGTTAGAGAGAGATAGAAACTTCAGCTGGGCATTAATTGATTTTTTTGTATGTGCCCTGACCAGAGATCAAACCTACAACGTTGGTATATCAGTACTATCATCTAAGCAACTGGGCTACCTGGGCAGGCAGATTGGATTCTTTCATTTAGTTCTATGTATCTAGGCTTCTATCATGTCTTTTCATGGCTTGATGTATTATATCTTTATACAAGTGAATAAGACTTCATTGTATGTCCTTCAGTGTATTTATCCATTCATGCGTTGAGAGACCTCTTCATGACCTCCAGTTTTTGTATGTTATGAATAAGCAGCCCCTTGTAGGCTTTTGAGTAGATAAAAAGGTTAACTCTTTGGTTCAATAGTAAGGAGCCCAATTACTGGATCCCATGGCGAGTGTATATTTAGTTTTATAAAAACCTCCAGACCATCTTCCCAAGGGCTGTAGCATTTGGCATTTTCAGCAGTAGTGATTGGAGTTCCAGTTGCTCCACCATCACAAAAGCATTTGGTGGGGTCAGTGTTCTTGATTCTGACCTGTACAATGGTGGTTGCTTGCCTGTACAAGTCACCTGTACAAGTGTTGCTTGCCTGTGCTGTTTGTTTGTTCTCATTGTTTTAATGTGCATTTCCTTAGTGACATAGATGTGCAGGATCTTGTTACACTGATTTTCTATGTGTATATATCTTGTAGTGCTGTGCCTTAAAGGTGTTTGGCCCTTTTCAGTCATGTTGGTTCTTTTGTCAATGTTGAGTTGAAAGGTTTCTTTGTCTGTTTTGCATAATTATCCTGTACGTGTTGACTTTTTTATTAATGTACTAATGGCCTGGTACAGAATGTGCACAGATTCATGCACATTGAAAGGAAATTAATTAGAAGGGATATTTTAATATCGCCCTTTCTCTATAATAGAAGTGTCTGAGATGAAAAAATGAGTAAAATGTATATGAAAATAATATATAAATTGATTAATAAACAGTAACAACATGATATAAGAACCACAAAGACCTAATATAAAAACAACAAAACATGATGTAAAAGCAACAAAAACATGATATTAAAACAACATTGGTACAAACATTGAATGAAAAAGTGATTAACCTCATTCTAATATCTCCCTGTATACCACATTAAAGAGTGAATTACCACCAAACACCTAACAGGATGGCAGTCATTTAAGAGTAAAAACACTCATTTAAGAATAAAAACACTTTGAGAGTGATTGACTAATTATCTTTGTGATGAAGTATTTACTACTTTAACTTTAACATCACATGCTCTTTGAACTCCACAGAAAGCAACATATAACTGACCATGTCTGGAAACGAATTCAGGTAGGAATATTCCTACTTTGTCTAGAGTTTGTCCTTGTGATTTAATAATAGTCATCACAAATGCTGGCATCATGGGAAACTGTCCTTGAATTAATTTAAATGGGAGGCCAGGCTCTCTCTGCTTCTGTCGCTGTGTCGGCAAGGTGGGGGAGCCGAGCTAGCTCGAATAAAGACTCTTAAATGGGAGGCCAGTGTCAGATGGGGACAAATATCGCGCACGCACGAGTGAACATTTATTTTACAATTGCCAATGTACGTCTTATGCACTGGATGGTCAGACGGATGTACGGTTTGTCACTTAGCCTTTTATATATATAACTAGAGGCCCGGTGCACAAATATTTGTGCACTCGGGAGGGGGGGGGTCCCTCAGCCCAGCCTGTGCCCTCTCGTAGTCTGGGACCCCTCGGGAGATAATGACCTGCTGGCTTAGGCCCGGTCCCGGGTGGCAGAGGGCAGGCCCAATCCTTAGGTGCAGCCCCTGGTCGGGCTCAGAGCAGGGCCGACTGGGGAGTTGGGGTGCCGCCCCCTGTCATGCACAGAGCAGGGCAGATTGGGAGGTTGCGATGCCACCCTCAGTCACGCTCAGGGTACGGCCGATTGGGGGGTTGGGGCACCGCCCCCTGTCACACTCAAGGCAGGGTCGATGGGGAGGTTGCGGCGCCACCCCCTGTCACGCACAGAGCAAGGCCAATCAGGGGGTTGGGGTGCTGCCCCCTGTCACTCACAGAGCAGGGCCCATCAAGGGGGTTGGGGCTCCTTACCCTGTCACCCACAGAGCAGGGTCTATCAGGGGGTTGGGGAGCTCCCCCCTGTCACGCACAGAGCAGGGCCCATCAGGGGGTTGAGGAGC